CTGTACCACTGATATAGCGTCAACAAACTAGTTTCGTATCTCGTATCATATCCTCATATACTCAAGCTGTACTTACAACTTTGGGAAATTAATTTTCACTTGTCAATTACACTAAAGCATTAAGAATATTTGTAGTTTATTTACTTTTTATTTTATATGTTTATTATAGTTTTTATTTATTTATTATCACATACTATATTTATATATTAGTCACATAAGTACATTGACCGTACATACATGGACCATTTATATTTCCTTATTTGTAATGTATAATATACTGAAACTGCCGATCGATACATTTTATACTTCTTATATATCCCATAACACGAATAATTATAAAGTAACTCACTACACATGTAAGTTAATTATATTTTATTATTATCAAATGTTTACTTTCCTTCTACTGGGTTCACCTCTGTCACTAGTTTACTAGCTTTGTAATATTATAGACTTTTTATACATATTTATACGTTAACCATTGTTGACTTGTGTGTATGGTCTTCGTCGAGTCACCTACATGTAGTATCGCCGTCCTAAACAAGTAGACATATATTCATGAGTTGACACCCTTCTAGCCGAAATAATTTACAATAAAATAGAGAGTCTGATCATAGGCATCACAATGAATTTTCTATGTTCATAATACAATATTAATAATGTCCAACAACTGAATTAGAACTTTGTGTATAATTAGGTAAATGTAAAACTTGTTGTTGCACAAACATTGATAATTCTGGTTTCATATAGCATAGTGTTGTATATTACACAGTGATTGATGTCTCATTCACTATAATTGGGGTTCTCATACAAGACATTTCCGGTCTTGCAGGCAGGGCTAACTTCTAGTATTTCACTTGCATCATCTGTCTTATGAGCAGGGGCATTTCCTCAATGGCATATATTGTCATGTTGATTTCATTACACGGCTTGGAATAAAAAAACAAATAACCATTTGCATACAGTGTATTACATACATTCTGGTGTTGTAATAAATAGGAAGTACCGGTACATATACTTGATATGACCCAGTCCCTGCAATGGCTAAGGTAAGTCAGTGTGTAATTTATTTGTCATGGCAAAGTTCAGTGTTTTGATAACTCTACGGATCATCCAGATGTAACATCTGTTGATACATACCCTGGTAATCTAAACAAGGTCGATTTTTTTTATCATGTACTCTGCATTCAGTGAATGGCTTTCTGCTTCCACATTTATAATAGAAAAACTTTATAATAGAACACAACCAGTTTCATTGCCTACTACATTAGTTTCAATATCATACTTACAGATATCATATTTGGTTATTAATTCTAAAATTAGGAAATATACCTTACACTTAATGTAACAAATTGACTGTTTGAGAAATGTATATGAGCATTCGTATACATGTTTAACACTCAATAGATCCATACATACAAGGGAAAGTATGATATCATTCATTTTATTCCACAAATAATAGAATATACATGTGATCTATTCAAATCAATACTGCCTGATCTATATACTTGCATGAACAATGCTCTGAAAAACTAAGTAAATCAATGTAATTGTACATCAGAAAAAAATCGAGTTTTTCATCATACAATGCTGATGCAGCATAATCCTTGATTTTAGAAATAAATTATCGAGAAGAAACACACTTAAATACAATACTACCAAATATGGAAGTAGACCAACAGTATTTGTCTTTCTACAACTAAATGTGATGTGGAATAGTTAACATTTTCATAATTTCACAGTGGCACTGGTTCCACAAACCTGAGAATTGTTGAGTAATGGGCCCCTACTCTTTAATCTTGGAGAAAAATTGGATTGTAATTATAACAATCAATGCAACAGTGTTAACATGATTTATTGTTATGCAAATTAGTCATGTCACAATCTGACATGACAGTGCAAGAACAGATACAAAATGGCAACTTCTCTCAGGTAAACACTTTCAAGTTGGGCCATAAAAAAATACAGGATTGGCATGCAAAATCTAGGCAAGGTTGTAATTAGAAAAGAGCTGCCTAGACCTACAAATATAGTAGCCACTATTTGGTAACTATTCAAAATAGGTAGATGTTTCAGACAAGGTTGGGTTGTGCTATTTATTCCATTTTTCCTAACTGTAATTAAGAAACTGGCTTCTATAAGAGTCGTGTGCAACAATAATGTTCAGATGAGTGATAATAATTATAGTCTAAAGAATACATAATCTGAAAACAAAATTTTGCACATATATTTCAACTATTCAGTCAAGTAGATCAACTTGTTGCAGAGTCAGGTTTACTTTTCTTAGTTGGAGGTTCATCTAGACTGTCTTGTGTATCCTGTTGAATGATAAAGTTTAAATCATAGAAAGATATTCATAGTAATAGTTATAGTCAAGTCACTGAGATCAAAGTCAAGTTTGAACACTATAACTCTGGGATTTTGTTTACCAAAATTGAAATGTGCCAGAATTGTCACGACTTTCGATGGACAAATTTGTCCAGATACAAACATACAGATAGCTTTGCACACACTGGAGGTAAAGTGTTAATTATTATGCAAATTAGGCAATTAACATGCACAAATTTCTACCAAAAAGTATACACATCAAAGATTACCAAGAAGTAACAAACAAGTTTTGACCCAAAATCACTTGCCGAAAATGAAAAACATACTCCTATTACCACAAAGTGTAATGATATCACCCAAAAGCAGCTACGCACCAAGAAGAATGCTTCATGCTAGCTGAGCTAACGAGACAAATATTCAAACCTATATAAATATTCCTGGTTAGGCACAAGTGAATGGTAAGGAGATGTTCCCCAATCATTCTAAGTAAGAAACCTGTACAAAAATGTTGAAATTCTTTTGATTGTCAACAAAAACTAAAAAAAAGTTTTTACCTGTGATTCACTGATAAATGGTAACGAGGGAGCTGACAATAAAGAATGTTCTTCACTTGTGTTTTCATTAGTATTAGACACAGATTCAGCTTTACCTGAGAATAAGAAAAGACTAATATTACCATACATGTCATTAACTATAATAATTCCTATAACTTCATTGGAATCCAAAAACTATTACATGAAGTATTTAATGGACCAAACAATGGGGAATAACTGATGATTTGCAAAGATTCATGCTTAATCCAAAAACTGTATGCTGCAGTAATTAGACAAAAACGAATCTTTGAGCATGAAAAACTAATCAGAAGTGTTAGCAAATGAAATACAAACAAACAAATGGAAATCTTCAGAGACAATTGCTATCATCTATGCATTGAAAATTATTTTAAATTAAATGTTCGAGACAAGTATATCCCACAATTATC